ACAGGGCTTTGTCTGATTTCAAGCTTTAGATCCACATCATTGTTATTTAGACAACACTGAGGTTATTGTTCTCTGTCCTACAAGTTTTAGAGATGTGGCGTTTAACCAAGAATTTACTTTAGATTGCACTGTGTAGCTAAGACTACGAGGAATTTAATGAGGAATTCCTAACCAAGATTTATCCTTTAGCATGCACAGTAAACAAATATGTAGGGCTGCCTTCATTTGTTTGGTAAAATTAGAAACATCTGGTGTCAGAGTGATGCCACACAGCTAGTGCTTCTATTGTGATACATAATTATCGGGTCACTCTAAAAGCTCCTGAAAAGCTTTCAGTTGATCCTGAATGCTGCAGCAAGAGTGTTAACTGGAACTAGAAAGAGAGACAACATTTCTCTCTTAAATTTGGACTTGAATTTAAAGTCTTCATCTTCACATGCAAAATGAATAACGAGGCCACGCCATAAGAATTTATAGCAAGTTTCTAAAAGTAGAATAGAAGGCAGAGCCTTCAGCTATCAGACCCCTGTATTATGGACCAGCTGCCAGTTTGGATGAGTGAGACAGACACTCTCTGGGCTGTGAGGTCACCCTGCAGAACCAGGAGGAGGCACAGAGGAGCCCCGGGCCCCAGACATCCATATGCCCTCCAAAGCATTAGAGCCTCGGGAGGACCAGAGCAGGGGCAATGGTAGCCCCTACCCAGAGACGAGCCCTGGAGCGGGGGCTCACCCAGCAACCACAGTGCAGAAGTCCCACGGGGTCGTGGTGACGAGCCTGCATGCTCCGCTGACAGCTGGCTGTGCCAGAGCAGACTGAGGTCCAGGCCCAGGGAACCGAGACCCAAGGGCGCCCCACACTCCAGCAGGGGCCCGACAGAGTCAGGGGGGCCAAGCAGCCGCTGAAAGTGAGCCAGTACACAACTGAATACTCAGCCTCTGACATCCAGAACCATCAATGCTCTGCCAGGTGGGGACACCAGCCACTGGCAGGGACTGTGCATGGAGAAATAGGCCCCCACACCTGGGGGAGCCTGAGATGTTCTAAAAGAGTTGGATGCTAAGACCTAACCTGACACGTAGACACAGGAAAACAGGCGCACACAGACACAAGCACACATGCCCATCCTCATGCACACATATAAACACTCTCACACTTGCCCAACATGGAGACACTCAGAGATGAACGCAGTGCACACACACTCACACTCCCCATACACACACTATACTCCCAGGTCCAGACGCCAATGCCTCCAGAGGGGCAATCCACTCACAGACCCATGAGATGGGGTAGAGACAACCACACAGCCCTGGTCCATGCAGCAGCAGAGCAGCCAGTCCCAGACCCCATGCCTCCCTCCACCAGCTCATATGTGGTGTTGATGCTGGCCTATAGAGCATTTATAGTACACTTTGCAAAGGAGGAATGAAAGTTGCAAAGCTTTGACAACAGAGCAAGCTTGAAACTAATCAATGCGACTGATTGTCCCGGAACAACAGTAATAATGCAGGAACAATACCTCAGGTGTAATCAGATGCATCATAGCACATATTGTAATAAAA